CGGTTTACGAATAACGTCCATGAGAGGACGCAGCTTTTCGAAACGTGGATTTTTCGAATAATGAAAACGAATAAATCGTGTTTTGCGCCGACGCGACGCATCGTACATCACGGTGATTCGAAAAATATTATAAAATCGGTTCTCAAAATTGCTCGTACGCGTGCGCGTAACCATGTAGCGCAAGTGGCGCGACTGATATTTCTTTCCTTTTGCCTATCAGTTTCTGTTTTATAAATTCGAGTATCGTATATTTTTTGTAATGAAATATCATTTTTTACATTACCTTGCTGGATATCCGTTGCGAAAAACAATTTGAATAAAATTTAATATTAGTTTCTTTATACAATTGTGCGAATGTTCAGCTCACATCGCTTTTTTCATTTTCCCCTAAATGGAAAGTACTGCAACTTTTTATCTAAATTAATAAATAGAAAAGATTAGAACGGGAAGTCTAAGTCTGCGATGAAACTACTCGCGAATAACGTGCATTTATATTTGTCTTTTACTAAACCACGAAACGAGCAGATTTTGTGGTTTAGGTTTTACGGCAAAAGTTAATCTGATGAAAGTTTAGCAACAGGCGAGAACAATAACAGTTGTATGTTTATGTACGGCAGTTGTTATCCTGCAAGTAACCATCGCTCGACACTGTTACGCAAGTACAATTATAACAGCAGTTATACAGGAAGGAACAAAACATTATCATATTGAGGAACGTTGCAATGCGAGGGCAAACGTGTGCTTCTTATTAATCTCGAAAGAACTGCTTCGCTAGTTAAATTATCTTAACGCTTATCTTAATGATCAACCGGGGATAGATGTTAGCTCACAGGGCCGCAGAATGTGTCTCAAATAACAGTGTAGGACGGTTGCAAAAAAGCAATGGCGTATCGTTGACAATACGATAACCTATTGTGCATTTTAATTGCAGTATTACGGTGTTATGAAATTTTTTTCTTCCCTTTAGTCATAGAACATACTCACAATGTTTCGCAGAAAACAGGATTCGTCAAAATCTTATGTTAATTTGTTACTCGCTATAAGAAATTCAAATGTTAATTGTTATCTTTCGTTTTGCAAATTGCGTGTTTTACACTGCTATCGAATAATAATCGGTACCCACGTACGCCTCGTTAAACGAAAAATTCGAAAAATCAATCGAATAAGAAATTCGCAGGAAATCGCAAAGTGGCGATATTTAACTAAGTAATGATACTGCGCTAGAGGAAAAAATTATTAGAGAGGGTGTAAAAGCACTAGTCGCACGGTGCAAGCGTAATCCGGCGACGTAAGCCATAAGAGGTGTCCGAGCCAGGGTGGCGACATTGTTTGTGAACACCGTGAGTACGCTCTACCTTCGAACAACAAGAGGGAGAGAAAGATACACCGTGCCGCAGCCACTGTTAACGATTATTGATAATATTGTCATCGAAAGGATAAACACCAAAAATACATTCTAGAAAATAGTCGCTCTCCGTTGCTAAAAGTACCTACACTGCTTCGCTTGACCTCCACCATTCCAGCGTCTCGCGCACTGACCTCTCGTATTACCGAAAGCTTCGCTACGTATTTTAAATGTATAATTTGCAGTATCGCTGTATGAAACAGTGTATGTTTAAAAAATAAAATAAGAGTTCTAAAAATAAAAAAGAGCGTAAGACCAAACAAATTTGTAAACTATTCTATCGTAGGAAGTTTAGTTTGATAATAATGAATTTAAAGTTAGTAATTGCTTACATTTCTGTAAACATCTACATGCGATAGGAGCAACGCTTTCGTATCATTAATCTTACGTGAAACTTATCGAAACTCGAGATTTAATAGCTCACACCATCCGGCCACGACTTCATCCACGTATCCTTAGCGTGAATAATAGCGTGGAATCTACGAAAGTTGGTGTATGAGGTTTACCAAGGATTCGAATGGTTTACAAAAGGGGAGCGACTCGACGATGTCACGTCGGAAGAGAAGTGGAGAAAAGTGAGCCACTTAGGTTTAAGAGTGTATAACCAGCCTAGCGGAATCATCCAGAAATGCCTTTAGATACTCGTTCTGCTAAATCGCTTGAGAAGCATTTAATGAAACGAAGAGAGTGAAAGACGATCCTGCTTCTGCCACCTGTCTACGAACTTTCTTTTCAAAATGATCGAAGAGCTGAACGTGTATAAGTTGTACGACAGTTTGCGAATAATTCAGAAGTAAGTATTCCGTTGGACATCATGAATATTTCTCATTTCATAAGAGAAAGTTTTATCAATTGTATCGGATATGGAACAAAATTTTTGCATCTTTCTTGCTATTCGTAGTAAAAGAATGATAAAGAAATTCTCTATACGAAGTATATGTTCTTAAGACGTAGAGCGAAACTGGGTCTACTCAGATCTAAAAACATACGGAACAATTAGATGCAGTCCGCAAACAAATGCCCTATGATTGCCAGGTATGATCGAAGTTAATTATACTATAAAAGTAGTTCAACGATTCGTAATACGTAATCAACGAAGCAGGCTACAATAGTAGTATAATCGTTAGAAAACCTTTTATTGGTGTGATTAATACATTAAAGCATTCGAATTTGTTAAATCATACGTTAGCGAAAATAAAAGCTTCGATGATATAGTCGCGCATACTAATGAATATGAATTGAAATATTTCGTGTAAGATATGAAACGATATATCTTTTATTTGATTGAAAATTAAGATAGGATACGAATGAGGAAGATATTTCGGTTGGACTTGAAAAATAACAAAATAAATATTATAAGAGAATAATTTTGCCAACCAAAATAATGAAACAAAGTATTGGATTAAAATGGCCAGTAACCCGGCTTTATAATAGAATTCTTATTATAAACTGGGCATAACTTACGAAGAGTAAATAAGTGACTTCAAGCCGACAGAAATTCTATTCAGAATTCTATTCTAGAAACTCTGTTCTATATCGGAACAATGATCGATTTATGATTGCTATTTCCTGCGGAATAACATTGATCTTCTCGTATGATCAACATCACTTGGCATAATTCAATAATTTATTCGGTCTGTCCTCCTTAAAGGACAACAGAATTTATTTGGGAAGGGATGAATTGTTATCAGAGAGTCAAGTGAATTGGCTGAAATCTCTGTTCACTTGTACCATTTCATATCGCACGGTAACCACGGCATGCAACAAACGAATAAAGTGTACTCAATTATGCCCTTCCTGGTTTCTACGGTCCGCCTTTTACCTCGCCCCAGTGGAGGGTTCAACCTGAAGTCGTAAGACACCGACTTTACCGGTTCAACCGCGAACTAGACGGTGAACTTGAGTGCTTGCAGAGCTCGTACCAGTGCCTATATACAGTCCTCCGGAGAGCCTTTCGAACATCCTCCCGAGCAGGAAATTAATTTCATGGGAACGACAATCGATACGCTTTCGACTATACTCAGACCTCGCATATACCTATGTTTCCGTGAGTGCGTAAATTATGGAACTCGTGGAACGTCGCGGTTATCATTAATTCTCTTAATCATTGTTAACACGTTGAATTTTATATATCTTGTTTTAGTCGCGATAGATTATACTACGCTATACCATAACATTGTTTCCATCTTTTTAATCTATCGATGTCTCAGTTATTTCTCAACTCTTTTAATCTTCTATAAAAGCTGTAATAAATACATACAGAAATATAAACTTGGTAATCAAAATTGCGCTTAGAGTAATAGTTCTTAACATAACGCGTAATACATTAAAAAAAAGGGGGGGGGAAACAATGCGGAGAAATCTGTTTCACAGCTTCTCACTTTTTTCGATCGAAGCAAAAGCCTGCGAGGGGCAAAAACGTTTCGCACCCGGAAAACTGTAAAATTGTTAATAAGTAATATTTGCATAATACAAGGAAATTGTAAAGCGTATTCCTTGGGGCGAAATCGATCGTGGAAAGTCGATGGATCGAATGGTAAATTCGGTACTGGTATCTCCGTTACGGAACGCGATCGTAATTCCGAGCAGCGTGCGCCTCGTTAAAATTCGACGCGGATGCAGCGGCCGAAATCGAAAAGTTTGCAATCTGAAGGTGTATAAGAGAAATTTGTCAGGCAGACTCGAAGACGTCGAGCAAGGGGAACAATATCGTACGGTTAATTTACTCAGGCAATAATGCCCAGAATCATAAGCCCCAGGTGTTACGTCGCGAATCTTCGACCCTCGTAAACACCGTGCACAAGAGCGCAAGGACACGGAGAGACGAGGCTACAGGGTGCGAGAGAAAGGCTATACTACTGGAACGAAGCGACGAAGCTTGCTTGGAGAGGAGGAAGATGGGAGGAACAAGTAGGAGAGATAGAGAGTATAACGGAGAAACCCAAGGGTGCACCCTACTTTCCTCTCTGTTATAGTATCAGTGGGTAAAGTTGGCCGAGTGTAGTTCCGTTACGACGGCACGCGTTACTATTTTGATCTTATCTTACCCCCTGACTTTTTAACTACCCACCGTTAAGGATCTTCGTGTTGGTTGCTTTTCGCGGCAACGTTCCGTTCGGAAGTTTTCTCGTCGGAGAGTTGTTAGAAAGAACAGTACGCGTTATTTCGCGGAGAAGATATTACATTTATCTTATTGTTTCGCGTTGGTTCAGCTATCGATAATATTGAATTTTGTTGTAATGAAATTAGCGATAGAAAATTAGAAGATTAGATATTCGTTTTATTTTCCAAGTAAACATGTACTTATGTACGTTTATAAATTTAAGAAAGACGATTTGCATATCCTGACTAAAATGCGACATAAAAACGGTGAAAAATATTAAATATTTTTTTACGATAACATTTACGATTCCTTCTTATTTCATGCATCTTCGTAACCCACGCCATAAGTATAAAATTCCGTCATAAATAATCGTGACGTATAATTTCTATACTTTGTATAACTCGTATACCTGACATATTTGCTATTCTTCGGGTTTCAATAGTCAGTGTCGTTGGTACGTTGCGCGTTGTACCGTCGCCACGGTTTTCACGACTTTCGTGAACGTTCCTCTTCTTTGAGACAGAGCTGGAAAAAAGAACAATCGAACAATATTTGTAACAGTATATCTTTATGAAATTTTATCAAATGCGCACTAACACTTACCGAACGTTAAGCGAAAAGGAGAATTGTCGCAGTGGCATGAAACAATGATTCGATCGAGTATCTGCTGCATCCTAATGAGTTTGACAGCAGAATGTACACACTCACCAAGGAGATTGGGGTAACTTGCAGTTCTTGATCAATGTTACACTGGTCCTATTATAGAAAAGTTAGAAAGGGCAGGGACTCGCACAGAGAGGATAAATGTTTAGTAAGGAGGATGCAGTAGATGGAGGTAAAAGGTGTATAGCGATTTCCCTGTGCGCCTCCCTCAATTCCCAAGGCTAGTTTCCATCTAACTTGACGCAACACACCGGTAATTTGTATCTGACCGGGCCTGCCGTTCTTCCTTATCATTTTTTATAAATGGTTGATAGGCTCAGTAACGCAGGACGAAAGTAGAAAATGGACGTGAAACACCTTGTTCGCGCGAACTTTCCCTCCTTTCTCGCAAGAAAACACGTTGACATCATGTTCTATGAGATGTCCGAAGATAAATATGGTACTTCGAAAACGTTTCAGAGCTTTTGCGTCAGAATATCGAAATTTGTCATGGGACTTTAATTTTTCTACTAGAATTCCGAAAATTTTTTACAGTATGTTTAGAATTGTAAATCCCTTTGTTGAAATTTTTGTAATAATTAATGGCTAACTTTTTACAAAGAAATTCTTGAAGCTACTTCCCTTTATCCTTTATTAATTTAATAGATGTGTAAAACAGCAGATAATAATGCCATTAGTCGTTGTTACAAGTTTTAAAAGATATCTTAATAAAGATAAAGAGTTGTAGAGCGTAGTCTTACGGAAGGTGGAGGACGAGTTTGTAACTTTTATCCGAGGACTGCTAATGGATTCATCTGTATGACTTTTCGTAGCAGACTCTTGCTTGAGAGATATTATTATTGAACATCCAATAAGTACTCGAATCGCATGCCGTTTTCCATAGCACGAAGATCTATTCTCTTCGTTAAATTTCAATCTGTGAGACATAATTTTTATCCTATTATATTTCTTAGGACAAACAAAATGTTCGTTACTATACCATAGAACCGTCAATTGATTTAGGAATTATCTTAGATCACATTTATCCTGAAACACCTGGTATAGAACCGATACGATACCCGCTTACAGCACACGAACTGTTCAAAGCATCGATACTGGTACAAAGGATGCCTGTTTCTGACTTTATGGAACTAAATTATGCATAACTGTATTAAAATTATCGATTAACACAGCTAGCGACTTATGAACCATGGCATACTGAAATAACAATTAAATTCAACTCGCTTTGGCCATTTTATTTGTATTTATTCGTCTCGTATCACGTGCATTATTGTCTTCGAAAACAGAGATTTCATAAATTGATCGTAATTTAGAGAAAAATATGTCTACGCTTAGTTCCCTTCATATTACTAAGAATTAATTAAACGAATATTCCTCCAATATACATCTTATGAAATTAATTTCATATTTACCCGCGCGAAATTTCAATGCTGCGCTCCAAACATATTTAGCGTTTAGCAAACCGCAGTTGATCTAAAAATATTCGATTTTCCGCGCAATCCGCGTGTCAAGATTCCCACGGAGAGCGTGCATATTTTATAAATAGCAGTAGTAGATATTATTTAACAAATAGCAATTTACCGATAGAAATATAATTTGTAAGCAAAATTCACTTTACTTGACACTTAAATGTTTATTGTTCGAACCCAAGCATCGATATTAGTTATTGCAGTTGAATAAATTGTTTTCTGGTTCGTTTTGTATCGAGATCGAATATAACAACGCCATTGATGTTAGTAATAAAACCAATACAATAAATACAATAGACAGAATTCGATAAAAACTCGCATCTACATAACGAATAATGACACGCATCCATCATCTATTAAGTTCGAAAATTATAACTGTTGTTTCTGTGTTATGATGAGTATTAATTACACACATCTACTTTTAACCAGATTTATGTGATTTATATCACATAAGTCAACGTCTCGATACATCATCGTAAATAGGGTTTATAATCTGACTAGAGCGTAGGAAGAAAGTAAACAGTAAAACGAGTATTAAGTCAAAATATACTTGTAAGCAGTACAGGAAATGATATAACAAAGTAATTTACAATCGTGTTAGTTCACGTAACACAATTATATAATATAACTAACGTTACGTTTGTTTTTAAATTCTTAAATTTAAATTTTAAATTGGTAATAATTCAGTACGTATGTACATTCTCACTTTTATGGAAATTAATTTTAAAATATATGAAGGAAACAAATGTCTATTATAATTTATATTTAAATAAATGATACATGTATCAAATATTATTAAAACTGTACAATGACAACAAGGTAAATAGTAACGTTACTGACATTAAACTTCGTAGAAACGATATGATTTGCGTTATCGATACAGAAATATTCTTTGATCGGGGTACTGAACCAGGTTGCTATAAAAATAATAAAAATTTAAATCGATAACAATACATGAGCTCGTAGCTCATTACTAATGCCCTGTGAAGTAAAAAAATTTGTTAGTATAATGAGTTCATAAAGCACGCGATACTTATAGTGTGTTTCTGTATACGTCGATACACGTTAAGTGCTGTTGAAACGCAAATATTCTAATCAATAAACCTATACTTGTGTTCGCTTCAACACCTTTTTAACGTTGCTACTGCTTCGCCGATGCAAGGCGCTCAAATTACCATTAACAGAGAACAATTAGAAAATATCGTGTTCTCGAAAAACACGAATTAACAAAGCTCGAACTGTTTGCAGTTTGATTGGATGCGCGGCAAAGAAGATGAATATTTGCTTGAGTTAATGGAAAAGTGATAAGAATTTCATAGATGACGTTTCGTCCAATCTACTTCTGTTTGAAGAATAAATATTGCTTAGAAAAAGTACATTTGACTATACAAAGGCACAAAATATCGAAGGTATATATTAGAGAATCATTATGATTCCTATTAATCTCCCAGCAAGATAAGCATTACTAATGATCATCGATGATTGTATCATGTTTTGCAGTCAAATATTTTTCGCCTGAATTCAAGTAAACAATTAAAGAGAAAAACAACGTTACAACAATATGGTATATGCCATAAAAAATTTTAATTTTCTTCTCTTGACACAATTTCTAAACATTTCAAAATAAACGATAAAATTTGATTTTGGTTATTAAATACGAAACATGAAATTAAAATTAACCTACTCCCGACATTTTTAGCTTGTAGATCCATCGTTCGATTTCTAGAAATTTTTCATAAAAATATTTAAATTTTAAATTAACGCTTTTAAAATGTCTTTTTTAGTGCGCCATTTAACAGAATTTGGTATCGGTTTTATAAAGGCACTCGACTTTTCATATCCACGCTCTGAACCGAATTTCTAATTTAACTTATGCTATCTCAAAAGCGTGCAAATTTCCATAAATTTATATTATCGATTGTGCGGAATCATCAGTTTAGTGCACTTGCAGTAAGAAATTAGATTACTTCAGTTAACTAATACCTATCGAAAAGTGTGATATCAGACCTTATTTGATTTCTGATCAAAGATAACCATTACGCTTATCAGGCGAAATATCTATTTATCGATCGATGTAACGACATTAGAAAATACGTGATATCAACTTAACAAATCTACAATTTGTTTGATTCCTTCCCGGTCCGTACATCTACATACCTATTGATTTACTTTCCTCGTCACAGAAAGAAGTTCCAATAAACTCCGATTAATTTTTTAATTCTTTTTTTAACTACAGGTAGTTGCAAATAGTCTACATACCAAACTATAGTCTGGCTTAATACAATTGCGTTTCTATATCAAATACATTACATCGAAAAAAATGTGAACGTTGACGCGCTCGAAGCTTTTATTGAAACCTCGAAAATGTCTTCCTAGAAAATGTGCCATTTTGGTCGAACGATTTCAACGTCTTTCGGCAAATTCTCGTAGAATTGTTGTACTTCGTGCGTGTGCAAGGAAGTCGCTAGGAGAATTGCGAGACTCGAAAAAAGCATTCTACGAGATATACGAGACGCAATGCTTCAGGTGAACGCAAACGTTTCCGACAGGTTTGATGCCGACAAGTACGTAAAAAGGTACGCATCTTATGTTGAAACGACAAAGCAGGAGGAAGGTACAAGGGGAATAAAAATTGAGCAAAAATTGAAATGTCGTATACAGCTGCCTATGAGATGTATATAAGTATCGATTTAAAGAAAAAGATGTCTGCTCGTTTACAGAATATGTGGACTTTTTACATTACTGCAGGTTATTCTGCCGCTAGCTCCGAACACGTTCATAGAGCCGTTTATACCGCAATAAAAATTGCTTTACTGCAAGCTAATAAGATCAAGGTTCGAAATACAGTTTGAAATTCAATGTTCAAAGTTCAAGAGCGCGATATACAGTTTTAGAATGTTTTAATTTTTCGTAACGCGTCGAACTGGTCGAACAATTCGCAAATTCGAATCGTTCGCGTATGGGTCTAATAATATGAGAATGCAGTCGTGTGTTCGGAAAATTGAATAAACGATATTTGGCTGCGAAATTAATTGTGTAATTTGAGAAGTAGATCAATAATTTCCGATTGAATTCCAATCCTGATTAATATTGCTCTGCTCGTTATACATTTATATTTTTACAGAGACGATTAAATTATCAAATAAATCTGAAATTTTCAAATATTTATTCGCTGAATTTTTTCTACAAAGGAAATCGAGCAGCCACAAAAAAGATATAAATACAGAGAGATTGATTACAAAACAAACAGCCCTCTTATTCACTTTTCCAGAGTGCTTTTCGTGGAAACACGTTTAAAATGCAATCAATGAATGTAACATCATACACAAACGGTCACGTCGAAAGAAGAGCAAATATCGACACAATGTGCAGCAACGTGTCGATTGACACACACTCGATCTACCACGTTATTCGATCATACGATACGCCGTGTCCGAGCAACGCTCGTCTCTTTCAATCACCGAAAATCTCAAAGGCTCTCAAGCAAGACGACCCAAGCATATTTTAAATTCCAGCTCGACCACGTGACGCGGCGACTTCAATTTCGTTCTAAAGTTACGCTCGGAAATTAAGTAAACCGATCGGTTGATCCCGCTATGTGGCCTTTGGGTTGTTCCTACGACGATGAAGCACGGGAATTAAAAAACGGTGCAATTCCGAGGAAACTCAAACTCCGACTGTGATTCGCTTTCCTGTCAACATTAAAGCGCGGAATCTGTTTCTCCCTTTACTTTAACCGTCAGATCGGAATTGGATTACCGATTTGTCTCCGATTTTCGTGTAATTAAGACATACAAAAGTATGCGGGAAGTCATTTACTACGTAGAAGTTAAGAGTCGCAGTTCTTCCTTAGAAAAATAGAACGAACGTTCATAACATAGGAAAATGAAATAGAAAAGCGTGTAAAAATCAAATGTAAACATATTAAATTTTAGATAAAACGAAATAGGTATTTAATCGAAGATCACAGAGACTTCTCGGTGAAAAAATACTATTCTAATTATATCGTAATCGCCACACTACTGTTTTTAGTCATGTTCGCATATCTTGGTTACGTTTGACTAATGCTTGGCAAAATAGAAAGAAACGTTGTACGTTATTTCATCAAAAACGGACATTAATTCGTTTGATCAAACTCCTACAATTACATACATACATACATGGAATACAACATGCGTATCGAAAGTTCAACGGGCGTTCTAGCGTTTGTCATCCCTCGTCGACGTAGCATGGACATCGAATTTGACGGCTGTACCTCGTGTGATTGTTCACGTGCAATACGTAACGTTCATTTTTCCAACTCTCGTTTTTTCAACCCGGGGTTTAAAAACCTGGACGAAAACCGTGGCAGTTAAGCAAACATTATTATATACATATGTGTATATACGCATATAATAGCAGTTGTTCGTCATAATATTAGAAGTAGAATCGACGTGTATGTGCATTTTGAGCATTTAAT